CTCATACACGTGGGACGTATATGCAAAATTTCGGCCTTGTTTTCCCGCCCGGTAGGCCGCAGGAGCTGTTTACAGGCATACGTGGCCATGCAGCGTGTAGACGCCATTACTTTCGCATACTCGGGCATGCCCCCACACCGACGTATACGCCATTGATGTCTATAGGTGCCCTATATGCAGCGCCTCATGCACCGGATCTTAGGCGTGTGTAAGGCCTCAGGGTTGCGATAGGCCGGCGTCGGCACCTGCAGCACCTTTTTGAATTCCAAGAAACGCTAGCAGGGCGTGCCGCGCCCTACGGTTGCCCCGTGGTGAGCGGTGGCACTGCCAGCGACATGCCTGTGACAAAAAACGCCACCTGGCACCAGCCAAACAAACACACCCGTTTCCACGGCAACGGTGAAACAGGCTGTGTCTGTGCCAGCAGGCCGCGCGCTGATAGTTTTCATTCCTCTCAGCTTTGTGTGTGTGCGGGGCAACCTGTACGCTGTTGATGTTTGCATGAAATTGGGGGACGTATATAAACGCCGCCACGCTTGTTTGCGGAATTTCCGAATGTGTGATTCGCAGAATTGAGGCGCAAATCTAAAAAGTGACGCGTGGACGACTTCTTTAGGCCCCGCTTGGGACGCGCTGCAGGTGTGAATGGGGCCTAAAGAACTTTTCATTTTAGCGTCAAATCGGCGCCTTAATTCTGACGCAAATGAATAAAAAAAAAGAACTGGGGGCGGTGCTTGCAATGATTGTTATCGGCACCCCAAATGCAGCAAGCAAGAAGTGCGCTTTCGCCATTCATAGGGCAGCCCATTGAGATTCATGGTTTGCCCCACCGGCAAAAATTTGTGGCATGCGCCTAAAAACGTGCTGTAAAAAACACGCGCGAAGCTCGCAGCTCAAATGGCTGCATGGGTTTCTCTGCTGCACGTGTCACGCGTAGGGCAGCCTATGAGCGTCTTTACCGTGCGTAGGGCAGCCGATTGAAATGAATGGGCTGCCCCACTGTGCGACAAATGTTGTGAATAAGCTCATGCAGCTGCAAGTTGCATGCGTATTTCTGCACATGGGGCAGGCCATTTATTTCAGCTGGTGCCCCTCGCGCATCAAATAAGCTCACGGGCTGCCCTGTGCACGACAACTGCGGCAAAGAAGCTTATGCGCCTGTCCGAGCTGCAGGTTTTTGTGCGCAGCAGACGCGCAGAGATGCTACACGTGTTGACATGCATGTGGCAATTTTGAATGCGGTTTAAACAGAGGGGTGACGTAAGGCAAACTGCAGAAGTTACACCCGAGGCCGTTCTGAGGCAAATATGCAGCAATTCTGCCGCACGTTGGCGTAATGCGAAAAGTGTAGCAAATCTGCCGCAGTTATGCATATTGAGACCAAAAAGCGGCCGCAAAGGATTGCCGAATGTTTATTACATTGAACTGCGACATTATGCTGCAGCATTTTTGCGGATGCAACTTTATTGATGAATGTCACCCAATGGGGG